GGAGTTTGTTTTTCTCCATCCTGAAGGAGCCCTTCTGCCCCACATGTCTTGCCGATGTCATTTTTATGACTGTTACTGTTACCATTACTACATCTGCAGTTTGTTTTCATGAGAATGCTATTTTTTGTCAAAAAGAACTACTTTGAAAGAACATCAGGTTACAGGACAAATAGAGAGCACGAGGTGTTTTCCATGTGCCCCCAAAGAAAAAAAACAGATACTTTTATAATAACCTTTATTTAATCTTCTAGTTTTATGCTAATCAAGATGTGTCCAAGAGACACATCCAAGTGGTGTGATCAGATAAAACTGTACTGCAGGCATTTCTCAGGAGAGAGCCTCTGCGGTAGGCCAGGGACAGGCGCTCGGAAGATTTCGGGCTGTAACGGAAAGTTACAGGAATCCTTCTACCCCCCTCCCCATAGATAAGGATCACCCTTGGAATGTAGCCAGACGTGTAGCCCCCCTAACCTATGCATGCCAGTAACTTTCCACTCCATACTAACCCTAGAAAGTATAGCCAAACCCCTGTCTGACGTAGAGAGACCCCTTAGTCCATAAATACCCTTAAGACCCCTCAATAAACGCCTTTAACCGTCCACCACATTGGTGTCAGCGTCCGTTATTGGCCACAAGGGATCCCACAAAAGGAGATCGAAGTGCTGGACCCTGAAACCAGGTCATCGCGGCCTTCACAAGAAGGCAACATAGTGGTGCCGAAACCCGGGATCGGGACGAGTCCGGGCGACGGGAGTACTCCTGGCCAGGGGACAGCACTCAACGCCGGAACGGCCATAACGAAGAAGGGGGACGCCCCAGAGACCCGCGATTCGTATGGAAGCGATAGCGAAGGTCGTAAGTTTGATACATATGCAATGGGGAATCAAATGTGAACTCAGGAATTTTAATCTCGCTTTGACGAGACTCCTAGAGATTGGGGTCCTTTCTCGACCCATAGATATATTACACCCTGGGGTGTGGCAGAAATGTACTGTCGCGCTAGCAGAGGACACAAAAGCCACAGGCAGCAGCAAAAGCCTGAAAGCGTGGGGGAAGGCAGAAGCCGCCCTACGCAAAGCATTAGAAGAACAGGAGACGTGGAACGTTGCGCGCTCCTGTTTGTTAATCGCGCCACAGCAGGGGGAGGGGGCGGGAACGCGAAACCCCCCTGGTGGCGACTCGATTGAGAGCGGGGAGACGGGGGGGCCGGGCGCGTCCCATCCCTCCTTCAGCCCAAAGCCCCCGGAGCCCTCGGAGCCCCCGGGGGACCCCCTGACCCCTTCGGAGGACCCGCCGGGGCCCACACCACCTCCGGAGCCCCCCGGGGTGCCCGCGGACCCCTCGCCCAACCCTTCCCCGCCGCTAGCCGACTTAGCGCAAGAAGCGGAGGGACTCGCACGGTCCTCTTGGGAGGGGCTGGCAGCAGAAGCCCGAAATATCGAGAGGGCTGGCGCACGGGCGAGCGACGGAGGGGATCCGCCGCCCTACCCGTTTGAATATGGCGCGGATGGCCAGGGAGAGGGGTGGAGCCCGCCGGTCCGCGGCGGGACGAACCCAGAACCGCGGCCAGCCGCGAACACGCATGCGCCGGAAACCAGCGCTGAGCCCATGCCCGGCCGAGAGCCGTGGGTCCCAGCAGACGCGCATGCGTGGGGGTGCAACAGAGGGCAGGCACTCGCTCGGGAGCCGCGCCCACTGATGCCACCATATATGGGAGAGATCCCTCCCTGCGGGAGGCAGGGCGAGCCCAGGGGGCGGCACCGCCAGCAAGATCAGCACCGCCCCCGAAGAGAGGAGCGAGGCCGTAGCCAGACAAAACGGCAGCAGAGACCGGAAGTATATTGGCAGTCGACTTCCGACTCTGAAGGGAGCCACAGCTCCCCAGATCGCTCTGCGGAGCCCACCGAGTCCAGCAGCGACTCGGAAACAGAGAAAACAGAATCAGTGCGGTTTCGGACGAAACCAATTAAAACTTTTAGCACAACCGGGAACCAGCCCCAATACGAACTCACCGACTGGGGTAAAATCAAAATCGAATGCGCGGAATGGGCATCCGCAGCATCGGTGCATGCCTTCCCAGTGAGAATTATGGGACCCCAGGGGAACCAGCAAAGAACGTATACTCCCGTTAATTCCAAAGACGTTCAAACAATAGTAAAAGCCATTTCAGAAAAAGGAATTAACTCAGGGGTGGTTTCCACTCTCGTGGATGGTCTTTTTAGCAATGATGATTTACTCCCTTTTGATATAGTGCAAAAAAGCCGTATGCTTTTTGAGAGGGAGGGGACGTGCGGGATTCAGCCCCCTCCCGCTATGGATGCGAGACGGCCCATCTATGCCAACCCATAGTGGGGCAGGGGATCTTCATACCCTATGCTCCCACAGGCAAAAGCACACAGAAAGGGAGAAACATGACCTACCCCAAAGCCCTGCCCACAAGGGTCACCGACGTCCCGACTGGCGATGAGGAAGCCTTCCAGATAGGCCAATCAGCCAGCTCAGGCTCGAACCCAATCCTTCGCATGTTAGAAGCCACCTTTCTATCCCTGAATGAATCTAACCCTAACCTAACCGATTCCTGCTGGCTTTGTTACGATGTTAAACCCCCCTTTTACGAAGGAGTCACTTTAGATACCCCTTTCAGCTATTCCACAGCCGATGCCCCTCGCCAGTGCAGATGGGACACACTCCGCAAAGGAATTACCCTGAGTCAAGTCACGGGTCAGGGCAGATGCTTCGGCAATGCAACCCTAGCTAAGCGGAAAGGCGACATCTGCACCGAAGTAGTCGAGCCCGACAGAAAAAATAATAAGTGGGTAGTCCCATCCACATCTGGGATGTGGGTTTGCCAGAGATCTGGAGTAAGTCCCTGCGTGTCTCTTGCCAAATTCGATAACTCTAACGACTTTTGTGTTCAAGTTCTGATCATCCCTAGGATCCTGTACCACTCAGACGAAGAGGTGTACCACCTTTCCGAAAATAACAACCGGCTCCACAAGAGAGAAATATTAACAGGTATAACTATCGCAATGCTGCTCGGCCTAGGAGCAGCTGGAACGGCAACAGGGGTCTCAGCCCTAGCAACTCAACACCAAAGACTGTCCCAGCTGCAGATGACCATCGATAAGGACCTGCAGAAGATCGAGAAATCCATTTCCTTTCTAGAAAAGTCAGTCTCTTCACTCTCAGAAGTGGTCCTGCAGAACAGGCGAGGACTGGATCTCCTGTTCATGCAGCAAGGGGGCCTGTGTGCCGCCTTGAAAGAAGAATGCTGTTTCTACGCCGACCACACAGGAGTCGTTAGAGACTCCATGGCAGAACTCCGAAACAGACTGGCTCAGAGACAGAAAGACAGGGAAGCCCAACAGAACTGATTCGAATCCTGGTTCAACCAATCACCATGGCTAACCACCCTGATTTCTACCCTAATAGGTCCATTGGCAATACTGCTTTTAGCTGTTACCTTCGGGCCATGTCTGCTGAACAAGCTGGTCTCATTCGTTCAGGCCCGCATAGAACGGGCTAACATCCTGTTCCTGGGGCAGCCACAATTCCTGTGAATTCAACAGGGAACGCTGCCAGTCACGAGAGACTTGCCTGGCAGAAACTTACTCAGGTTTCCCAAGACCCTTTTCCCTAGTTAGATCTCAACTTCCTACCTCATTTCAGTGCCTATGTATAAGACTACCTCGTTCATTTGTGAAAGAGGGGGGGGAAGTGCGGTAGGCCAGGGACAGGCGCTCGGAAGATTTCGGGCTGTAACGGAAAGTTACAGGAATCCTTCTACCCCCCTCCCCATAGATAAGGATCACCCTTGGAATGTAGCCAGACGTGTAGCCCCCCTAACCTATGCATGCCAGTAACTTTCCACTCCATACTAACCCTAGAAAGTATAGCCAAACCCCTGTCTGACGTAGAGAGACCCCTTAGTCCATAAATACCCTTAAGACCCCTCAATAAACGCCTTTAACCGTCCACCACATTGGTGTCAGCGTCCGTTATTGGCCACAAGGGATCCCACAAAAGGAGATCGAAGTGCTGGACCCCTGAAACCAGGTCATCGCGGCCTTCACAAGAAGGCAACAAGCCTCCAGCCCAGCCATGGTATATTCTTCAGATCCATGGGCACTTTTCCATACCTGATTCCCACTCTTTCCATCCTACCCATTGGCCCAAGCCCTGCTCAGATCAGTCTCTAGGAAAACACATCAAGTCCTTCGTAATTCTGCAGCACAACCCAATCAATCTGCTTCTTGCCCGGAACCGCTGCCAGTGCTGTGCTCTCAGATAAGACCTGGTGGGGCTGAGACCGGAGCCCAGTGGATTCTGTGTCTACCATCACCTGTTGGGACAAAAAGGGCATTGATCTGTGCCTTGGTGTGGCTGATCTCAAAGCCCATCCTGTTGTGTCCTGAATGGAGGCAACAGCTTGTACGGGGCTCAGGCTCACTCTGGCTTCTTCCCATCAGTGCCTGTCAGTGCTCATGCTTGGGCTTTGTCAGCATTGTTGTGGTTGCTGCCCTGTCCCTGAGGGCTGGAGGGACTGCAGAGGCTGGAGCCTCCCTTAGCTGGGAGAGGGGCATCTTTGAGCTCAGCCTGCTCATAAACAGGTGAGGGTCCTGATGCTGAAACCGATCCATAGGGATCGATTATAGCATGAGCTGCTCTGGTTTACAAATGGGAAGGCATTCTTTTGGCAAATTGCTGAAAGGTGGGGAAGATTTCCTTCTCTCATGGAAATGCATCTCTCTGTGCTTTGTTTCCTGACAAGAGAACTCTTCAAAGGACTGTACAAAATCAGTCTCTGTGCCAGCCATCTGCACTGCAGGGCTGCCTGTCCTGTTGCTGTTATTGTTGCTGTTGTTGTTACCCAGCTGACCACAAAGGGCTCAGAGCCCCAGACAGTGACGCTGCCCTTTTGTATCTCCTGGAAGCTGGGATCCCTGCTTTAAAGTCAGCATCTTGCATTTTGTTTCCCTCAGAGGGAATGGTGAACCCCACTGAAAATCCCCTGATGAAATACACTGAGCTGGAACATATTGGCAGCGGGTGAGTCCAACCACAGTTACTTCAACATAACCACGGGCCAGGTGTTTTTCTGGTGGAATGTCTATCCAGCGTAAAGTCAGGCCAGCTGCAAAGATGTTCATACTGGGGATAGATTGTCCCATCTCTCAGTGCTGCTCAGAATTTGTGAGTGGGCTCAGAAGGCATTGTCAGAGACACCTCCGTGCTGCCGAGGTCGTGCCTGCATCAAGGAACAGGAACTGGAAGGTCTCCTTGTCTCTCAAGTGTGGGACACTTCTGTGTTAATTTCTTTAGCATTTTTGGGTGTCTCTAAATTGTCTGGCCACAGTAATAAAGGGAGAAGAATCTTGCTTGCCTGAAAGAGCAACCTACTCCCTGATAGCTGTGAGATAACAGTTCTCAGGAACATTTCTTTCCAAGAGTTTGCTGAAGGAAATACTCTGTGGTCAGGACAGAAACTGCACAGTTTAGAAACTGAAATCCAAGACGAAAGAGGAAGCTGTCTTTAGGAGCTGAGGCAGTAAACCCCAACACTTCAGGAACAGGCCCAGCGTCCATGCACTTGAGAGGAAAATGCATCATCTGCCTTCTGGCAGAACCAGATGCATCCTGCAGGTTTTAGGCATTTACAGCACAGATCTCCTGTGTGGGCTGGCTCTCACTGCAAGATCTAAATGGCTTCTCCTTTCTCTGCTTCTGGTTTGTTTCTAGGACTTTTGGAGATGTTTGCAGAGCACTTATCAATGCCACAGGAAGAGAGGTAAATGTCAACAGGCCCTGCAAACTCTGCTGCTCTTGAGGGGCTTTCCCCTCTGGTGTGAGCTGTGGCTGGAGCTTTGGGCAGAGCTGTGCTGAAAAGGCACAAGAAGCACAGACTGGTGCCAGCCTGCAAAATACATTTGGGACTTTGTCCTCCTCAGCCTTCCTCGGAAGGAAGGCACGGAGGGCAGCGGTTCCTTTCAGAGAAGGACGCGCTCGCTCGCTCTCCATTGCTAAAACAAAGGTGGTGCCTGTCGCAGACATCTTTCATGAAAAATCCTTTTTTAGGATTTTTCCTTGTGAGAAGCTGCAGTTTCAGCAACTAAAGTAAACAATGATTATCTGCTGCTGTAGAATGCAACAGGTAAACTTGTGATTGATCTCTTGTGGGTGTTTAGATTTCTTGACCACTCATGGCAGAGCTAGCTCTTGCTCTGTCTGAGACACAGATCTTTGTTATTCATTCTTTTCTATTCTTAGCTTAGCTAGCTTCTGAAGAAACCTTTCCTTTCTATTGCTTTTTAGTATAATCCTAATGTAACATATATCATAAAATAATAAATCAAGCCTTCTAATCATAGAGTCAACATTCTCGTCTCTTCTTCATCCTAAAAACCCTTGTGACCGCAGTCACAGGTGCCTTCGAGCACCTCACTGCTCTTTGGGGCTACAGCTTCAGAGTCCTAAATTCTCATTTCTGGCTGCCAGCAAATACATCTGAAAGTTACTGGTAATTCCTTAGCCACCTGCAGTGCTGTACTTGGGAACTGCACGTAGGGAGAGATCTGTAAGGTGCCCTAAAAGCCCTGCCCATAGGCCAAGATGTATCCACAGAGTATTAAGGCATGGATTACTTCTTCTGAATCCTAGAAAGAGCAGCAGAGAGTGTGGTCAGAGGTTTGTGGGTGATAGCTGAGACACCACTGTTACCAAGTGGTCAAGGCAAAATGTCAGTGGCCCCACGTGTCCTGTAACTGGCCCCCAAGGGAGCAGAGAAATGGGCTGTTGGAATGTCAGTTCCTCATGACTGCAGTGCCTCATCACAAGGCAGTTTGGCACAGCTCAGCTGTGTCATTGCAAAATCACTTGCTCAATTGCATTGTGATCTCATGCCACCAACTTCTCAAGTTACTGATTTTCAATGTCATTTTAGCTGGCCATAAAGAAAATAAATCTCCAAGAACTGAGGAGGAAGGAACTAACCATTAATGAAATCATGATCATGAAGAGGTACAGGAGTCCCAGTGTTGTGAATTATTTAGACAGGTGAGTGCTTATGGCCTTATCCCATGAATGTGCATTTATATACGGCAAACATGAGAGGTTAAAAACCCACTTGGTCACTGGCAGAAAGTAGGGCTGTAAATTATTATTTACTAGGATCTCTCTATTCATCTCGAATGGATGAGAAGAGATTGCATTTTTTCTGCATGAGTCTTCTCTGGCACACCTAGTTTGAAAATTATTCCAAAATTATTCAAAACCTGGATCAGCTGTATCTTCCTAAGTCAATATCCTCGAAGCTCAGTGCCTCCACATTTTTTTGGGATTGATTTTTTAAAGTTTCTTATGTGCTGATGAACCATCCTAAAGTGGATTCCCCTTGGATTGTTGCCCCTCTTTGCCATTGCTGTGCATTCCAGGAGGACTAGGTGCTTATATCCAGAAACACCATGCCTGACAGGTTTTTTATGTGGGCTCTTTTAAATTGCACTTTTTGCTTGCTGGCCATCTAAGATATCTCCTTTTTTACAGCTGTGCCTTTCTCCTTGAGACTGAACAGATTGCAAACAATGCACAGCCAAGAGGGGATCTCTATTCCTTTTATTCTGCCCTTGTCACCAAGGGACCTGAAACAAGAAACCTGGAAGCAAAAAATCAAGGTAGCTATGCATGTTCATCTCCACACCCTTGTTTCCTTCTTTCAGCTACCTTCTGGGCGAGGAACTCTGGCTGGTTATGGAGTACATGGATGGAGGCACTCTGAGAGATGTCATCAATGAGTCTAACATCTTTGAAGGAGACATTGCAGCCATAAGTTGGGAGGTCAGAGATGTGCTTCCAAGGCCTTGGGCAGGATTCTGGGAAAGAGGGGCTCAGAACAGGAGTGATTTCCTGTGCCAAGCTTTGTTTCTGTGTGGCTGGTATGCTATGGGCAAGTAAAAGCATCTCAAGTGAAAGGCTTGCCAGTGCCCCTGCACTCCCTGTACTCAGTGCCAGTACTCTTATCTCCTGCTGTTGTACTCTTGCTCTGCCTCTTGTATTTGCTGTTCTCCATCTTGCCTCGCTAAACTTTTGCCTGTCTTCACTGCATTCCTTGCCTGTAAAAGCAAAGGTGCTGGTGGCAGGATTTGAAACAAACAGCAAAGGAAAAAAAGAGAGAGACTCATTTCTCTCAGTCCTCAGCTAAAACAAACAGGAGTGCAGCCAAAATGCTCTTTGCTTCTGAGCACATGCACTGCAGCAGAAGTCATCCTGGCTGGTTTGCAGGGGACAGCCTACAACAGCAGGTGCTGTTGCTCTTTCAAAAGCTGACGTGCCTTTCCTCAGAAAGGACCTGCTCTGCAAGTGTTGGAGCAGCAAGCTCTTCCTCTCAGTGGCCATTACTCTTCTGCCATTACTCCCCATTCCCCTGGAGAGGAAATCTTTTAGATTCTTTGTTTTCTTTCTTGTGTGATGAAATCACATCACTTATTTTTGCCCTTCTCTTTCTGTTTTCTCTCTCAGTGCCTGCAAGGACTGGATTTTCTTCATTCAAACAATGTGATCCATCGAGATGTGAAGAACGACAACATCCTTCTCAGAACTGACGGTTCTGTCAAGCTGGGTCAGTATATTCTTGGTTATGTGCAGCATTCCAGGGATGTGGGTATGGGGCTGCTTGGAGTGACAGCCAGCTCCCCAAAAATGGTGCTGGTGGCAGTGCAGGGACACCCGCTGTGAGCTGAGGGCACAGTTGCAACGTGCACAGAGGTAGGACAAGGAACAAGCAGTCAAGAGTGGCCTTGCTCTGTGTGTGTCCCTTGCAGAGGGAGGGAGCTACAAGTCTAAAGTTTCCAAAAAACAAAAGCCGCTGCTGGAGGCAGTGTAAAAAACGTGGGGATTTTTTAAGTCGCCAATGCCAGGAGATTCAACAGCACATTTTCAAACTTCTACTGGGGAATTCTTTTGCTTGCTTTCCTAATTGCACAGAATTGAAATAAAACCAGTATTTTGCTTTCTCCTCAGCTGATTTTGGCCTCTCTACTCAGCTCACCCCTGAGCAGAGCAGACAGTGCTCACTAGCCGGGACTCCTTGGTGGATGGGCGCCTGAAGTGGTGACAGGTCAACCATATGGCCCCAAAGTGGACATATGGTCTTTTGGAATTGTGGGAATTGAAATAGTTGAACAAGAACCTCCTTACTGGGACCAAAGTCCCGGCATGGTAAGGAGCAATACTCACTGATCCCACTGTCTTTCTCGCCTGTCCCATGTCCTGCGTGCCATTGGACAAAATCCCATTGCCATCTGCTGGAACTACTTCCACCAAGGTCCCCTCCTCAAAATGTCTCTGCAGCACATCAGCATCTGCTCTAGTTCTGGTTGCATCAGTGAGGGAACTCAAGCCTTACCACATGCAAACAAACTCCATTCTCAGGCAACATTTTCCTTTGGGTTATAAGTGGCTCCAGTTTTTTTGTCTGTGGAGATGGCCCCAGTAACAGGAAACAAGCATCTTAGAACTGCTGTTATCTTTCCATAAATGAAGGAAGGAAACCCAAATCCAACAAAGTTTCTAAAACAGTGGATTATAGAGAGGAACTGCATCCCCTGTGCAGTTTCTTCTCACTGGGAAACATTCCTGAAACCTGGGCATGAGGGTGTAAAGGCCACAGAGTCTCTTCTGCTTCTTGTGCAGTGCTGCTGCACTGCATTTAGTGACCATTTTTCTTTCATAGCCCAAGCCACGTTCTCTGTGTCACCAAGCCAGAGCCTGGTGATGTGGAGAGCCTGCCAAAACCTGGCACTTTCTGGGATGGGCCTACCATTCATGCATTGACTTGAGTAGCCAAATGAGGAGAGGGTGACCACAGGGTTGGCACCTCTCCTTCTTCTGACCATGACAATTTTTCTTTTGCTGCAAAATGGGAAGCTGAAATTTTCAGACTGCTGAGAGACAGAGCTGCAGGTGGCTCCTGTGTGCCCAAGCAGGCATTTTCATCCCAATACATTTGTGCAGGCATCTTAATATGTCTGTGTTGAATATGAGATTGCAAATGTTTGTTTCCTAACCTGCGGATTAACTGATGGATTTCCTTTCTTTCCTTCCAATTCCCATTGTTTTCAAGAACAGCACAAAAAGCTTGATGAGGTTTGTTCTATGGCATTGTTACGGTTTTACATGAGGGACATTTAGGGAAGTGACATAAAGCTTTTAACCACTGGAAAGCTGGACACACCTCTGTGAAAAACAGACTTTAAAAGATGAAAGAAACTTTTTCTTTCCCTTCCGGTTGGGAGGGAGGTGACACGGCCAGGTGGCCCCTGCTACGGGGCCAGGCCGGCGGGTCTTGTCGCGGGGTTAGGCCCCGCTTCTCCCAGGCTGCCTGCCGGCCCCCTAACATCGGTTTCTGGGCAGGGAGAGGGGGGTGCTGCGCAGCCAGATGGAGCCGGCCTTGGTAATATTTGGTTACTTGTTACACTGCGCCCAGCCCGGGGCCCAGCTGAGCTCACCGGCCCGGGAGTAGCCCCGGCTCCAGGCTGGGATTTGACCTCCGCAGAAGTTACTCACAACCATCGGGCAGAAGGAAGGAGGAACTTCCTCTCTATTATCCTGGGTGACACTGTTGAGTCCTGGGCTGGTTGATTGGATCTGAGCTGCACCCCTAGCCCCAGTTTCTCCTGTTTGCAACCCCTAGTCTGACTGGGGTTAGGCTGACCATTTATAGGCTCTAGGTAAAATATGAATCCTTTTAGTGCTTTGATCCTCCCTCGAATGAGAGAAAAGAACAAGATATAAGTATGTGAAGGAATAAATATGAAAACATCATCAGTGAGCAAGAAGTTAAGTCCTAGATGGGAGGGATGAGGAAATATTTTAATTTTAGAGCTAAAATTCTCTTAGAAACTATGAAGAAAAAGTTTTTTGTCTTATAACACATGAAACAAATTGATATTGAACAAAGGCTTTCACGTTAAAGTAAGCAGATATTAAAGTAACTATAATTGTATGAGAAGTTGAAACAGAGAAAGAGTAGTCCTGTACTCCCAGGAGAAGATTTTCTGTTCCTAAGGATAAAAATGATTTTAAAAATAGATAATGAAAGCTTTTACTTTTGAACAACTCATCTTTAAAACAATACCCCATAGATCAACATGGCCCATAAACAAGTTGGGGGAAGCCTTTTAGAAAATGGGAGAAGACTCACGATAACAGGGTTCCCCAGGCAGCTGTTATCGATGAAGAAATTAAGAACCACAAGAAAACTGGTTTTTCCTCTTGTAGAGAAGTCCCCATAACATTAACAAGAGGGACTTCTCTCCCTAAGTAAACTGAAGAAAGACTATTTTAAAAGTAGTCAACGGACTGGAAAGTTTAGGTTTTGTTTCTTTACATTATCAGTGAGAAAGAAAAGGTTGTGGGGAGAGGAGAAATGTTCTGAAGGGTTTATTCTGATCCTTATTACTCTTTCTTTTAGTTGCTATTAATAACATTTTCTTTATACCCTTTGAAAGTTTTAAGTCTGTTTTACTTTCTCCTAATCCTATCTTCCTAGCTCACAACAGGAAGTAAGTATAGTGATAATTGACCAACACCAAACCCACCACACTCTTGAATACATTAGCCGGGAAAAACTAAGAACTGGGGAAATCCTAAATTGGTGAACCAAAACCACTAGACAAAATTAGTGTTTCTGCTTGGTTTTGAACTGAAACTGTTAGCGTTCAGAAACACATAATCACAAGAATGATTATATGCAGGTGCTTTTATTGAAGAGCTCTGGGTGTCAGGGGTACAAACCCAAATCTGACTCCAACATAGGTTCGGGATGAACGTGTTTTTATATTCTATCCTTATATAATTTTCATGTTAATTATTAAACTTATATTGTTCTATTGTATACATAGATTTCATCCAAGCATGGCCTCCTCGTGGTCCGCCTCAACCTTCTAACATAGTTTCTCATGATTCT